GGAGGCTAAGAATTCATACTCAGCTCCGTTCTTGGTTGCTTGAACAGTCTCCTAGTTGGTGCTTCAGGGCTTTATGTCCACCTCATTGCCAAACCAGCCATACCAACCCCAGAAGCCAATATCCTCACAGTACAAAGCCTCCCCATTTTGAAAGAGATTTGAAGATAGTGTGGATACTGTGTGGTTATCACCTGGTATGACATTGGACAGGGTAAAATGTAGAGGTTAAGAGTGTGTCTCAGGGCCAAAACCTAGATCATACCCTGGCCTCCTTATGTGTAGCTACATAACCGGAGCTTGAGACTGTAGAGACACAGCTGAGTCAGCCTGCTCAACGCAGCCAAAGTCAATCTTGCTCAGCCAATAGCCAGTACACAGACATAGAGCAATATCAACAGAGATCTCTGTCACTTGAACAATAATACATCATTAGTTCAAGATGTTAGTATTATTGTGGTAATAGACAATAGATATACCAGGAGCAACACTGTATTACAAAGCTCTTACTTTTCTGCAAATAGCATAAAATTCTCATGTTTACCCCTTGTTTGTAACTTTGGATCCTTCATACTTGCAAATATAGAGTGCTGGTGAATAAAGCAACATGGTCTCTGTGTGTAAAAATATTTATTGCAAGTGATAAGGAGGATTTCTTGTTAAGTACTGACATCTGTCCTCTCCTTATATATACTATACACTCACCTTATTGGGCAAAGTTTTATCAATCTCCTGCTGCAGTTTCTTCTGTACATCAGGGTGGGTGGCCAATGTATACATAATGAAAGCCAGAGTGTTACTAGTGGTCTCATAGCCAGCAAAAATAAAAATAATTGATTGGGCCAAGATCTCCATATCAGACAGAGCTAAAAGAGAAGGGAACATATTTAAGGTGAAGTAAATCCATGTAGAACATCACTGTTTAGATGAGAAAAATACAAATAAAGCTCCCATATACCTAGAAAGAAACACGGAATCCAACTCAGAGTCATGCTAGGACTGCTTTTCACCATGATATCTATCTCACAGAGCCAGGAAACGCTGACATTGTTTTAATTTGGTTCCACTGAAGTCTATAGTACTCTTAGCCACCTCCTCCTCTTACGCCATCATCACAACCATCACAGCTGAATAAATTCAAGACCTAACATATCTGTCTAACATACACTGGACTATCAGTACATCCCTTGGATGAGCATAAAATTGCCTATAAATAAAATATGGAGTGGCTTTATGTCAGAAAATTTTAAGTGATTCTAGCTAAAATACAGCTGAAAATTTATCAAGACAGTTTGTCAAGCTAAGTCTTCATTGCATGGAAAAACAAAGGCTCTTTGCTCTAAATATATACGCAGGAAGTTAAGTGAACACCACTGAGCTGCAGAGAAACTCTTGTTATTGTGTGATCAGTGGACTAGCAGCATCTAAGTGATTATCAGAAACAGAGTCTCAAACCCACTCAGGTCTACTAAGTCAAAATCTGAACTTTCACTAAATGCAGTGATTTGTATGCACAGCCTAGTTCAAGAAGAAGGGATCAAACTTTTGAGAGTCATCACAGAAGAACTGGGACCACTCTTCACAATGGGTGATCTTGGATGGACAGAAACTACAGAGCAAGTCAAAAAGCTAGAAGAGTAGCAACTGACCCTAGTTTAATGAATGTCATTAAAAAACAGAAGAGTGTGTACATTAAAGGTCATTGGTAATAAAATATAGTAATAGAGGATTCAGTGAGTGGAATTGGTCATGATTATTCAATCGTAGCCTGAATGCCATCCTACTTAACACATGCCCCCTCTCTCTGTTCTACTGTATGCTCACAAAACTGCCCTTTGATTATAAATTGACCTTCCTCTTTATTTTCTTCTGAAAGACAGAATCACAGTCATGCAGTTGTCTCTCCAATCAGGACTAAAACTGATCCTGGTAGATACTTGGAGCCTTGAAATAAACGTATTGCCCACCCAAACCATATAATTCAAACTAAAAACAATGTAAAATAAGAATGACAAGGTTCTTCAGAGTTCTGATTTATAGATGATGGATTCTATGATGAACTCAACTATCATCTTCTTTCTCCCACTTAGCATAAATCCACATCACTGCACTGAAATTGAACTATGAATGCAAAGTTTAGAGCTCTACCGTCCACTATGGCATCATGCAGACACCTGTGGCTATTTTAATTTCAATGAATTAAAATGAAATACAATTTAAACTTCAGTTCTTCAATGACCCTACCCTCATGTATTCAGTGGTGATCACATTGACTATCACAGAAAAGCAAGATTGCCTTCATCCCAGAAACTTGTATGAGATAAGAGAGAGACAGAGAGAGATCAACAGGTAGGTGGAAAAAAGCAGATTTAGATATACATAAGTGCACAGTGGTGTACTGTGGTGATCCCACTTCCACTCTAGAAACCTTTCTTAAATATTCAAAACTTTTGTGAGAAGACTGTCACACTAATGGTAGCTTGAAATTGACATAATAGAATTATTATAATTATATCAAAGAAAAAGGCTATGTAACATATATCAGAAATTTTTAAGTAAGAAGAGGCAAAAAGACAGGGCAAGCCTGAGCATATAACAACATATTGACAGACATAAAATTTTATATTTCTTAGTTCTATGAAAATATATTTGATTTTCTTAGTCTTGTTCACTTTGAGAATGTAGAAGCAAAAGAAAACCTCAATAGACACAAACACTAGACCTGAGTTTTTTATTCCTAACTACCATTTCTCATTAAAAGGAACCAGGGATTCTTGGAGAAATGGCTGATTCTAGGGCTATCAGGGAAACAGAAGAAAAACGTAGAATATCTCCCATCAGAAAGCAAGACAGGCAATCCCAGCACTCCTGAGGCTGAGGCAGGAGGATCACTGCAAATTTGAGGCCAACCTGAGCTACGAAGTGAGTTCAAAGCCAGCCTGAACTGCATAGTGAGACACTGTCTCAAGAATACAAAACTAAAATAAAACAGAAACTGGCCATTGAAAATGACTCAGGAGTCTGTGCTCGGCCCACACCACCACCATTCCCAGCTGAAATGCGCGGAGAGAGCCAGGTATTTTCCATCTAATCCCTGAGGGCAGATCACGCTAACAAGGGCCCTGCGGACATTGCAGACTGAATCCCTGCAGCGGCAGAGAGGAGGTCCGGACTGAGAGGCCCCGGGGACTTCTCTGGCTGTGGGCAGGGCGAGCAGACTCTCTGAGCCCCGGCCGCTCTGTGCCGAGAGAGCGAGTACTCTGGGAGGTGCAGGGCTCGTGGGTTCGAGTCTGTGCTTGGCCCACATCACCACGATTCCCAGCTGAAACGTGCGGGGAGAGCCAGGTATATTCTACCTAATCCCTGAGGGCAGATTGCGTGAACAAGGACCCCGTGGATATTACAGACTGAGTTGCTGCAGAGGAAGAGCTTTAAAACAACACTGGGATTCCACCTTCCCCCAGTAAGAATAGCTAGCTTTAAGAAATCAACCAATACCAAATTCTGGGGAGGCTGTGCAGAAAGAGGAACCTTCTCCACTGCTGGTGGGAATGCAGACTGGTGAAACCACTGTGGAAATCAGTCTGGAGATTCCTCAGAAAACTAGTTCTAGAGGTCCCATTCAA